GTCTTCTTAAATATAAAAAGCTCTTCAATAAAACTAATAAGTTACTTAAAAAGTCCTTGTACCGAGAAAAGCGTAAAAATGTTGAGAGAATGATTAAGAACTCCAAGAACAAATCTTTTACTACTTGGAAAATTATAAAGGACCAAACGCCGAGTACTAATAACAATTCACTAATTGATGCTGTTCGTTGTGATGGGGTGATTGTTTCTGATCCAGCTAAAATAGCTAATGTTTTCAATGAACATCTCACCTCCCTGCATAATACGTTTCCAAGTAATTTAGCTCATTCTATGGCTCTGGAGATGACAAAAAAGTCCCTGAAAAACCCCCCTCCAACCTTTACATTCTCCCAGATAACACTAAATGAGCTATACTCATGTGTCTGTAGTCTCAAGCCAAACAAAGCTGATACATATGGCTGCATACCTCCATTTTTCTTTCGTGACTATTTTTCTATCATTGGTGAGCATCTGCTCGTGCTGATTAATAAATGTATCGTGACAGGTGTGTTCCCGCACTGCTTGAAATCTGCCAATGTAACTCCTTTGTTTAAAAAGGGTTCCAGGCAGGATGTATCTAACTATCGACCTATTTCTGTTCTTTCTACAGTAAGCAAACTATTCGAAAAAATCCTATTTAAGCAGCTTCTATGCCACTTTGAGTCCAATAACCTGCTATATGATCACCAGTTTGGCTTTAGAAAGGGTTTATCTACCACCCATGCTCTGTATAAACTTATAGATAAAGTTCTCACCGCCTTTGAAAAAAAACTTCCTATAATGAGTATACATTTTGATTTAACCAAAGCTTTCGATCTCCTCAATCATTCTTTGCTACTCAAGAAATTACATTTATACGGTCTCTCTGAAAATGCCTTAACGCTCATTGCTTCATATCTTTCTGATCGTAATCAGAGAGTAAAAATTGACTCTGTCAATGGACCCATTCTTTCTAGTGTCTTACCCTTAATGACCGGAGTCCCTCAGGGATCAATTTTAGGCCCACTTTTATTTATCATTTTCATGAATGACCTTCCCTTTAATGTCAAATACCCCATTTTACTATTTGCGGATGACACTTCTGCCTTAGTTGAGGGTGGAGATGTAATACTTAAGGCTCGTGAAGTGTATGACCAGGCCTCCGCCTGGTTTAATGCCAACGATCTGACGGTTAACCAAAGTAAGACACAAGCTTTAATGTACTCAGCCGGCTCTTGTAATGCTTCATCCACTGATTATTGTATTCTAGGAGACTCAAATAGTATTCGACTGGAAAACTCTGTTGAGTTTCTTGGTATCCAAATAGATAAAGGGCTCACCTGGAAAGAACATACCAGTAAAGTCATATGTAAATTAAGCCGAGCATCTTGGGCCCTGCGCAACCTGTCAAGAATATCTACCCTTCAGTGTTGCTTAGCATTCTATCATGCCCATGTTGTTTCCCATATGAGATACGGACTAATCCTGTGGGGCCGTAGCACTGGAGCAGAGCAAGTTTTCATGTTACAAAAAAAGCTCGTCAGAATTATGTTTAATATGCCCTGGAATGCCCACTGCCGCCCAATCTTCATAGAGCATAGATTGTTCACCCTGACCTCCCTTTATATCTTGGATAGCCTAAAGTTTGCAATCTCAAATGGATTGGTATCTCCCTCTGATCTTCTACCGTCTCATAATTACAACAGCAGACATAGAGATATCAAAAACGTAAAAGTCCGATTGAAACTATCTGAGCAAGATTGCAAATTTTCGGCTATCCAAATTATAAATGCTCTACCCTGGAATATCAAAAAACAACTCCGCGACGGTGATATCCGGAAGTTTTTCAATTTACTTCGCGATCTTCTTTTGAGCAAGGCTTTTTATAATTTGAACGAGTTTCTAAACTCATCTGTTGAATAACGTTCTAACCACCAACTAATGTACAGTTGTAATTTATATTTTTAATTATTGTATAGTGTTTCTTGACCTGTACCATAGCCCTAATAATGGGGCTCCCATGTACAAAGTTTTAATAAATAAATAAATAAATAAATTAACCGTTTAACTTTTGTTCTATTTCTGAAATTGCATTACTTTCATTACTATCTTCGTATAGATAATTCTTGACTTTTTCCCAAAGTCTTTTTCCATTGATGTTTTCTGAAGTTAAAAGAAGGTAAACAAAGAATGATCTCAATCCTGACGGCATCATGACAGAGACAGCTTCGTTCATTATTTCGTCAACATCTTCTTTATTCATACCATATCCTTTCGCATATGCTGCTTCTCTGAATGTTTCCAATTCTATATTATTGACTGTTTTTAAATGTGAAAAATTTAAAGCGCCTTTAACTTTTCTCAGAAGTATTTTCAAGTAAAACCGTTCACAATCTTTCGGAGATATTGAATACAATCTAACCACAAGTTTTGTCTGTCTTATTCTTTTCTTCCATTTTTTTTCTTCCGCTTTCCATACATAATATTTTGGTATATCATGGTAAAATAAATTTCTGGCATTAATGTCAGTCTGATTAAGTTCAAAATAAGCAGTTAGTTTTGTTACTTGATTTTTTTCGCTTATGGCTTGTAATTCCGAACCTTCCTTGAATGTTACGTATTGCTGTCCGGGCAGATGAACTGGTAAGCGCATAACAGAATGACTGTGGCCGTGCATCGGTATTTGTTGTAAACGCCAAGCTGCTTCCATTGAGCTTAAGTATCTTGTGTCAATGTAATCGGAGATTTCATCGATATTTCGATTATTATCATTTCCAGAAATTGAAACTTTAATTCGATCATGCCCTTTAGTCAGGTATTTGAACATATATTTTATTGCCATTAAAGATCCGCAATATTCTACATTTATGTGGCAATCGTATTTTAAGATTAAATAAGGATTATACGGAACAACCATTGAGTTATCTACAAATACTCGTTTTCCGTTTATTTTTTTGTTGTAAACATTGAGCTCATGTCTATTGTCATTGCGTTTGTATTTTGGAAACCCATCACAGGTCATGTCCGTTTCATTTCTAAAATTAAAAGGGAATTTTTTTGAACACGAAGATTTTTCTGGATTCCAACACGGCGTGTTTTCTGAATGTGGTCCATGTAACATGTGTTTCATAACTTTTTCGTGAAGGTTTGGTTGTTCGTCTTTGTCTGGAATTTCAGCGCTAATGAAACGATCTATTTTATCTGGAGTTAATAATTTATTTTCATGATTCAAAATGAAAATGCAATGCGCGTGTGGTAGTCCTCTTTTTTGGAATTCGATTGTGTAAATGTATCCAATAATTGGACCGAAAACTTTACCAGAAGTAATTTCGGATATGAAAGCTGAAAGTCTTATGTTAAAGGCTCTAACTACGAAGTAAGCAATATCACTCGTTGATGTTCCTTTTGGCATTGTTTGTAAATATTCCTTTATCTCCGGCCAATTTGGATTGGCAGTATAGGTGACAAAAAGGTCCGGTCTTCCCAATTCTCTGGTCATGGCCATGGAATCCTGATATAATTGTTGCATTGATCTTGGACTACCTTCATATGTCGATGGTAGAACAACTGCATTTCCTAAACGAATCAAATTTGATGTGTTCGCAGAGCTATTTTTAATATGATCTGTCAATCCTTGTAAAGTTTCTTGTCGAAAAATGTTTTGATTCATTCTTATGTAATTTAATCGATTCCATTCAACAACAATGTATCCGTATATAATGTATTGTTGTGTTAATCGGCCTCCATGTAAAATTGGATTAAATCTTTTATTGTTCATAGATAATCTTTGTCCAAAATATTGGGAAGGTGTAATTCTTTTTGAGTCAGATTTACTGTTTTGCTTTAAATCTAAAGAATATCCGGGAGTTCCGAAAGGAAAAAAAAGAGGAAATAACATTGGTTCATTATGTGAAGAAAGTTTATGAATGATTGTAGAATTAAAATCATTCCTTGGATAAACTCGAAAATCAATGTTTGTAGGGATATCTCCTTCTTTGCCAGTTGAAATTATTGCTGCTACTTCTGCGATACCTTTGATTGGAAGGTTGTAACGTCTACGATCATCTCCATTCAGCCTCAAAAAACTTATATTCACGTTATTGTCATTGTTTGATTCTTCATATTTTTCCAGTAAGCTTTTGTAAATCTTTGCATAAGGATTATTTTTCAAAACATCTTGAATTACTTGAAGAATGTTTTGGTGACAGTCTTTAAATGTTCGTAATGTTAAAGCATCTTCTTTCTCGTAAATATAAATCTGAGCCAAAGAGGGCGCTGCATCTTTTTGAGGTAACAAACTTGCAGTACCACGAATTTCTACATTACCTCTAATTTTCAAGCTACCAATACCTCCAACAGTAGCATCTTCGGTTGGGCAAAAAGACGACATAGCAAAAGCGTTGTTGTATTTACGCAAGTTTCTTCTGAAATGTTGGGATTCTTCGTTGTTGTCAGTAAATAATTTTTTTAATGGTAAAGGTGTTGTTGGTAAGTTATCAATTTTACTTTTTCCTTTGTGGCAACAAGCGTGTTTGCTCCGACCACTTTCGTTTTCAAATAATAATGCATCGCAGTATAGGCAAGAAATATTTGGAAGACCAATTATTAAAGGAATTAAATCATCAGAAGCGCATTCACCTTGATATTTTTTGTCATTGCGTCTTTTTGTTGACATATTATTTTTATTGGTTTTTAGTCTTTTTTCCCTTACAGTTTCCTTTTCATTTGAGCGTAAAATTGCTAACCTTGCTTTTTCTTTTTCTTTTTGCTTTTCTCTTGATTCATGATCTGCTAAGCTTCTACTGCATTCCTTTCTTTCTTTATCTGCATGTTTTTGTTTCTCTCTTGATGCATCATCTGCTACGCTTCTACGTTGTTTTATTCTTTCTTTTTTTAGTTTTTTTCTTTGGTTGTTATTTTCTTCATAAATGTCTCTTTTTCTTTTCGTGAAATTTGTTTGATTATTTTGATCTAATGTCAAGTAAGGCTCGGTACACGAAACGCTTGGATGAGAAGCTGGGGGACGGTTCATCTGGAACCACGGAAGAACAATATCAAATTATTAAAGAATTCATTCACTCTGCTGTCACTCTGGGTCCGCAATGAAAGAGTGCGTCAGATCATGGGAGTCGAAAATGACATCATATTCGACGTCATGACCAGACAGTTTGTCTGGTATGGTCATGTCAATAGAATGACGGACGAAAGGCTGCCAAAGAAGTTGCTTGATTGGGTTCCTCCTGGGAGGAGACGAAGGGGACGCCCAGTGAAAGGGTGGCGACAGGGGGTTTTAGAAGAAATGAGGGTTTGTTAACTCTCTGAAGTGCTTTGGGAGGATTAGGGGAGTTGGCGTCTAGGGGTAGCAGAGCGCCAAAGAGCAATATAAAAGCGACTTTATACATACATGTCAAGTAATTGAATGGAATAAAATGAGTTAATGTTTCAAAAACATAATTTGATACTTCATGGGCAAAAAATATGCAATCATAATGCCAATTATCGTTTCCTACATTTACATTTTTTAAAAGTTGTTTTTTAGCTAAAATCTGCAACATAAGTAAAAAAAAACTTCAAAATATTTTAATAGTGATTTATTAATATCATACATTGAATTCAGCTTTATAATTCTTCAAAAAACTTGCTATGTTTCAAACACAAATGTAGGAAAGAATATATTCATTTTCAATGTGATGGCAATTGAGGTGATAATCATGAAATTAGCGATTAGACTATGGGCCCTTTTTTTGGAAATTGCAGAAATTTATTCTCCGTATTTTAATGTATATATTTCACGACTTTCAGCATAATGGAGATGTTGCATCTGTGAAGGATTTGCGATTTGACAATTGATTCTTATGTAAAAGTTGTAAAGTTGTTTTAGAGTCCCCAAATAAAGTGGCAACCCTGCTAATGTATTTGTTCCCTATCTTTGCATGGAGAGTCTTGTTTTGATGTAGAGGTGGACTCTCAGGGTAGGGTGGGATATTCCCTCCATTTTGGCCTGACTTTGAGAGCTTTTTTTGAGCTTGGGAGATGATTTCAGAGTAAACCAGTGGCACCATCGTGTTTCTCGCAAACTTTTATATAAGAATCAATAGTCAAATCGTAAATCCCTCACACATGCAACATCTCCATTGCTTTGGTTTTTCCAAAAATTTCTCAATTAAGAATAAAAAGTGAAAAAGGTATAGCAAAAAAGCCAGGTATACGATGCACGATGAGCGCATTGATAAATTATGGAATCTACTCCTTATCTCTCAATTTGGAAAAATTAGGAAACTTAGGAAGTGACCTAGATTTGGGGGCGTCCTCGTCGTTCGGAGGCCCCTCTAAGAAGGCCCAGGGGCCTTCCCCCGTAAACTTTGAAAATTTCACACTTTTTTTGACGCGAGTTTAAACATTATTGGATTCAAATTCTACAGTAATTGAACTACTATTGGTTCTCCTGTACCATTTAAGCTGTCCTAAGGGTCAAATCTGTAACTAAAAATGGACTTTTTTTTCCTTTAGTAACACTGTCATATTTCAATTCGCCTCTTCAAAAATTAATTTCATCATTAATAGGACATGCTCACTGGGAAAACATGTAGGTCCAACATGTGTTGCAATGAATGAGGGAAACCCAGAAAAACCTCATCAGACCAAAAAAATTGCAAACAAATTTAGAATGGAAAAAAATGAAAATGTAACTAAAACTACAGAAATTTTAGGAGCAATAATACTGTCATACAATTTTTTGAAAATACAAAAATTAAAGCACAACACATTCTGTGAAACTAAAGGAGCCACAAAAAAAACGTATGTCTTCTGATTTTTACAAAAAATTGTAAGAATCAGAAGACCATGGAATTGAAAATGGTCTTCTGATTCTTTTAATTTTTTTATCTTTACAAAAATTTAAATTTGAATTCAATAAAAGTCGGAATTATACATCGGTATTTTCTACTAAATGTATTAATTGGTTCAATTCCATGGTCTTCTGATTCTTTTAATTGTTTTATCTTTACAAAAATTTAAATTTGAATTAAATAAAAGTCGGAATTCTACATCGGTAATTTCTACTAAATGTATTAATTGGTGGTTGCAATTTGGACATAAAACCCAGAATTCAGGACTTGACCAGTAAATCTCGGCTCCTTTAGTTTCGCAGAATGTGTTGTGCTTTAATTTTTCCGATTCAAGTTCCCCTAATAAATTTGAATCCCCGTTCATTATCAAAATTTCAACAGGTGTTACAGACATAATTACTAAAAATTTTGAATATTTTGTAGAAGATAGTTGTGATTATTAAAATTTTGAATCTTGAATTCTTTTATTTTGATTCTTTGATGACTTTACGGCTTCTTGCTTAGCACGGCAGTGTAATTCGTCATTGTAAAATCAAACAACTGTCAAGTTTGCAACTACCCAAACAGGAGATTTCATTTAGAATACTGAAAATATGAAAACAATCCAAAATTCAATTTAGCAAACACACTATTCTTGCTTTGCACATTTGTGCTAAATAGATTAGGATTTCTGGAGCAAATAATAAGACGGATATCAGTTTTGACATACCTCAGTAACTTTTTCCACACTGGCAAAAGATAAAAATGCGAAATCTATAAAGTCGTATTTATGTCAAAAGTAACTATCTGCATATGTTTTGCGTGCGACCTAGATCCTTTGAGCATTAATAGGTAGGTTCAAATCGTCTATGTTTCAGTAGTTTTTCCCAACATTTCATTCGAAAAGTCCTAAAATTGGATAGTTACTCAGAGAAAGACATAAACACGTCAATACTTTCTCTGCATTTTTGATAAGATAATTTTCCTCTTGGAAAGTTTTTTACG